GCAAACTGGTATGGACTTCTGGGGAAATGGTTCAAGGACACATTTGGCCACATCGGAAACGATATACTTGGAGGTATCGTTGGCATGAAGAAGTCGGAGAATCATGGAGTTCCATATTCGTTGACCGAGGAGTTCGTCAGCGTTTACAGATTGCACCCGCTCTTGCCTGACGAATTCCTCATTAGGAACATTTCATCAAGTACTGATGAAGAAGAATCAGCAGCTTCCAAAGAGTCTCTTCCTGTGGCTGAAAAGTACTGTTTCAACTTCCATCGTATGATTTTCTTGAGCCACATGTGTATAAGGGTGAGGTGTTCTTGTATAAATGATGTTATGTGGTTTGCTGTTTGGACCTGCAGGCTGCCCATGTCGGAGTTGATAGGCTTGAAGGGAGACAAGGCTTTGTCTGAAATTGGGTTCACTAAGCAAATGGTGTCCATGGGCCATCAGGCCTGTGGGGCTCTTGAGCTATGGAACTACCCAAATTGGCTTAGGAATGTAGTGCCCCAAGATCCAGATGGCAGGGATAGGCCCGACCTTGTGGACCTGCCAGCCCTTGAAGGTATGTATATGGGTTAATCACATGACTCAGGCCATTAACAAACTTGTGTAGCTTTACCAACACATATGTGCTTAAATGTTGTGTAGTTTTTAGAGATAGGGAGCGAAAAGTTGCGAGGTACAATGACTTCCGTAGACGGATGTTGATGGTACCAATATCGAAGTGGGGAGATCTGACGGACGACCAAGAAGCAGTTCAAGTGCTCACTGAGGTTTATGGTGATCGAATCGAAGAACTGGATCTTCTAGTCGGACTCATGGCGGAGAGAAAGATCAAAGGGTTCGCCATAAGCGAGACTGCATTCTTCATATTCCTGATCATGGCCACGAGGAGGCTGGAGGCTGACAGGTTCTTCACGAGCCACTACGGCGAGGAAACATACACAAAGAAGGGTCTCGAATGGGTGGACACGACCGAGTCTCTTCAACAAGTGATCGATCGTCATTATCCTGAAATGACCAAAAAATGGATGAACTCCGCCAGCGCATTCAGTGTCTGGGATGCGCCTCCGCAATCTGAAAAACACGTTCCTCTCTATCTTCGGATTCCATGAATCGTGTGACTAATAAAGATCATTATTATGCCGTCAATGTTTTATGTTAATTTCAAATTCCTTTGGTGAATAAAACTGTATCAATGCTGTAATGTCAAGAGTTATGTTTGGAATTGTTTTTTCTTCTTCTTCTGATTGGGGTAATTTGGACCAGCATACATTAACAATGTTGGCAGTGTTGACTTGTTCTAGTTCTTGTTGTTGGCGATTGGATTGGTGAAAAAAAACAGAGGATTGTGTCTGATAAATAAACAAGAATCTCGACCATTATTATGCACGGATTCTAATATTCCTATAAGGCCTTTTTTCAGTCCAAGAAAACTTTACAGTGAGTTTCTTTTTAGTTTTTAAGAAAATACCAAATGTAAGTACGGGTTCCATTGTACTGTAAACACAAATTTGAATATCCACCCAAAACAAGTGAATAATTATGGGACTCTATGGATTCTGTTTTCTATCTCTAGTAGTTATCCGTTCTCTAATGTGGGCATAATGAGATGCATATGTAGCCAATATAGCTTTCAAACAAATATATGATAAGTCATTAAATTTGTAATGCAAGCGTGGAGTCCCTTTCAGATTGATTGTGATGAATCATAGTCTTTATCTTTATACTTTGATTAATCACATGGTAATAAATTTTTTGATGAATATATTTACTACTAAATGTGAAGCTGAACTAACTTTTTTGATTCCGAGTAGTGTAAAACAAGTAAATATATTGATACCACATAAAATTAGTTTGAGAATGTTTATGCAATTCATAAATTGGTATTCAATCCCAGATCATGTAAAGTGCTTTGCAACAAAAATCAACCGCGTATATTATTGCCCACTTAGTTATGCGTGGGTAAGCATGACTTAAGAGCAAATATATTGATATATCGACTTAAATAAGTAATTTTGATAAATATAATATTGACAACGAATTTTCGGGTAAGATTTAATAAATCATAAGCACGACATTAAGGAAAAGTTCCAGCTTTCTTTAACCCAAAAATTTAGCCCATGTTTGGTAATTAGAATTCTCTAAATTGATGCATTTAATCAATTTATGTATTCTAATTAGATGTATTATTTAAATGTATTAATTTGAAAAACACAGTGTTTGAACCTTGAAAAATTTGGTGGTCACTCAAAAAATAAAGAAGAGAATTTGAGAGATTGACAATCCCTATTTTTAGCCGAAATTGACGGTCATCTATAATGATTAATGAATGATTTGCTGGTCTCATCTTCTGCCAAATACAAATATTTTATTTTATTTGAAGAAAAAAACGTCAAATAATTTCAATTACATATATTGACTAAATACATAATTTAAAATCTCACTTCCAAACAACCCCTCAGTTACACCAAACTACCCAAATAGAACCCAGCTAAATTCTACTACATCATCCAAATCCTTATTCCGAAGTTTAGGTAATTCCTATTGTTGTTTACAGACTTTATATTAAAGCATAAATAAAACAGAGTCAACGAGAAATCGAGAATTCAGAACTCAAAACATTGTCAGTGGAGCGGGCTTGTGGAGTAAGATTGACCGGGAAGAGCTGTAATGGAAAGAACTCTTCTTTCCGGATTATTTCCCTAAATACAGTGAAAATTAAAAGTAATTCCCACAATACATCACTTTTATAAATATTTCCCAAAATACCAAAGTTTGAACCGGTTCGAGTTTGGCAAACTCGAACTAGTTAGTAGATCGACTGTAAAAGAATCGATCCATGTGCATCGAGTGAAGCAGCCACGATTGGCTGGAACAGGACGACGCGGATCGAGTGTAATAAACTCGATTTAGGTGGATCGAGTACGTTACACTCGAACTAGTTGACATGGATCGCTGACATAAGCAGCGCTCCACCGTAGATCGAGGTAAGAAGAATCGAACCACGCCGTTCGATGGCCAAGCCCGCGATTTAGTGGCGACGCGGATCGAGTGGCGGAAAAGCGATGCACGTGGATCGAGCACCATTGAATCGATCCATTTGACGCGGATCGATGACGTCAGGACCGCTCCACCGTAGATCGAGTTTGCCAGACTCGATCTGCGTCGTTCGATGTTTGTTCACTCGATCTGCAATCGACGCGGATCGATGGCAGGGAAATCGAGGCACTGGTTCGAGTCCTCTGTACTCGATCCACATCAACCACCTGCACCTATATATTCCCCCTCCCATTCCACCAAATCCCACACCACTCCATTCTTCTTCCTATTCCTCCCACCACTCTTGAAGAAAAAAATATGCTCTGTGGTTGCGGCTAAGCCCGATCTTCCGCATCAGATTTTTTTTCTTTAGTTTGGTACTTCTATCACTGAAAATTGCCGAGATGGATCCGAGTATTTACGATCCTAGATTATACATTCAAGGCGGACCGCGAGAAACCGATTTGTTGGATGAGCAACCTTACCATCGGTCTGAAAGTGTTTGGGCGGCAGATCCGGTAAGCACTTCCTCATTTACTTTTCTTTTTTTAAATGTGATAGTATTGTTCTAATTTTTTTTTGTATAATAATTAATATTTTTTTTTTCTACAGGAACAACTTGACGTAATCACCCATCGGTCGCTATCTCGCTTGCCTAAATGGGATGATCGTATCGAGCCCTTCATTGAAAGAGCGCGATTGCTGAGGGTGCGAAAGTTTGTGGGGATGGAGATGGACAACAACCTTCTTACGGCAATGGTGGAAAGATGGAGAAAAGAAACGCACACATTCCACCTTCTAGAGGGAGAGATGACGATTACGTTGAAGGACGTAGCCATGCTGACAGAGCTTCCAATCGATGGTGATGCAATAATTGAAAGTTCACAGAAACCATTGAATGGTTGGGGCCAATTTATAAGCGAGCGTTTAGGTATCAACATCCCCGAGGAAGCAGAAGAAGGTCGTCGTGTACCACCTCTACACAAGTCTATGTTATTGATACCTTGGCTAGTGAGGACCGTTGGGGAATTACCGGAGGATGCCACGGATGCTCAGATAGAGAGGTATGCTCGCATCTACCTTATTTGTTTGGTTGGAGGATTTTTGTTTCCGAACAAGTCTGGTGGAAATATGCATTGTATGTGGCTTCGAGTTCTTTTGGGAGATTGGGACGAGATTGGGAGAAAAAGTTGGGGATCTGCTTGTTTGGCCATGATATATTCGGAGTTGTGCAAGTGTACGGATCCGAAAACAAAGCAAGCGGGTGGTCCCATGTTCATCCTCCAACTATGGGTTTGGGAGCACCTTCCTACTTTCGCTCCGATCTGCCCTGCCAACAGCTGGGGTCCCGATGAGCCACTACGACAATGGGCTTATGGTGCTAGATGGATTGGAGCTATCACGAGTGGCACCTCTCTAGACGGGTACCGCCAACATCTTGACCGTCTAGAATTCAACGAGGTAACCTTCTACCTTATGATTATTTATTTATAATTTATTTGTTGATGTTATTTGTCTTAGTCTTAGCCTATGATTTATTTTTATGATTACGAGTTCTATTTTATTTGTTGAAATTATTTGTCTTAGCCCATTATTTATTGTTATGATTATGAATTCTATTTTATTTGTTGAAATTATTTGTCTTAGCCCATTATTTATTTTTATGATTATGACCACTATTTTATTTGTTGAAATTATTTGTCTTAGCCCATTATTTATTTTTATGATTATGAATCCTATTTTATTTGTTGAATTATTTATCTTAGCCCATTATTTATTTTTATGATTATGAATCCTATTTTATTTGTTGAAATTATTTGCTTCGATTTTAATTTATTTGTTGTGTTGAAACTTAGGTGGAGTGGGATCCGTATCCGAACGGAGCAAAGGATTTGTACGAGTTGCGATACCCTGAGGATCGCCGACTCTGGTCGTGCAAGTTGCCTGTGATTTGCCTGGGGCCAATATGCTTCATGAGCCAAGGGAAAGAACGACCCTTCCCAAACTCTGACCACGTATGGAGTCTTGTAGTATGGACTAACAAATATCAAAGGATCCAAATTAACGCTTCTCGCAGCTGCATATGCATGAGAGCAAGGCAGGTGTCTCCCTTGAAACTTCCCACAAGTACATTCTCCAATTCCATTCTTTGCATCTAGTATAACTGTTTGAGCATTACCACCCTTTGAACTATCTGGTCCACTTCCTGTTACTACTGAAAAGCGGGAATCTCTTCGACTAAATAAAGTCACCTTATGCCATTTTGCCCTTTCTGACCATGGTTTCATATCATCCGTAATCTTCGTTGGGATGTAGGTTCCAGCATTCAACATCTGATATGCTGCTTGGTAGCGTTCAACGAACCATGTCACCGTACGAAAGAAGGTATGCAAGACTATAGATGAGATAGGCATTGCACGAAGACCAACATACAAACCATTGAGGCACTCACCCATGTTCGTTGTTGTTATTCCATACCTATACCCTTCGTCTTGATGTAACGTCCACCTCTCATAAGGATGAGTTTCTAGCCAATCTGCACCTTCAGAGTGGACCTCCCTTATGCTCTTCATTTTGTCTACAAACTTTCGAGTCTGAAAAGCAATAGCTACAATAAAGCAAAATAAGGTTAGTAAAGGAGTATACACATTCAACCAATTGATATAATCACAACATCTTATTTGTTCTTACCAGCGTGCCAAACTGCACGTTGTCCATAAGTTCTACCAAAGTGCTTCCCGTAATTGCTTTTGAAATGTCGTATGCACCATCGCCACTTCCACCCTAGCTCCTCGGGCAGGTCGTAGAAAGCATGTCTAATTCCATGGTGTCGATCAGAAAGTATGGCAATGTCCTTCCGTTGAGTGACACGAGTGTATAGTTGGGAAAAAAACCATGCCCAACTTAAGTTGTTCTCCGATTCGACTATAGCAAAAGCAAGGGGGAAAAGTTGCATACTGCCATCAACACTAGTGGCAACGAGTAGAGTGCCCTTGTATTTGCCGGTCAGAAAGGTGCCATCAACTTGGATTATTGGCAGACAATGGGTGAAACCATCAATGCAAGGTTTGAATGCCCAAAATAGTCTCTTAAACACGCGTTTAGCACCTCCATAGAAATCTTCGTAACTAGGCACAAAAACAGACCCAGGATTCTTGTCCTCCATTGCAAGAATCAAACGAGGCATGTTAGCAAATGACTCTTCCCAATCACCATACACCTCTGCCATAGCTTTTTGCTTCCCATGCCATGCTTTCTTGTAACTGATGGTATAGCCATGTCGATTCTTCACTTCAGCGATGACACTCTTCACGGTGATCCCAGGTTGTGCCTCAATCAGATGTTTGATTGTTTGTGCAACCTTCCTTGCACTCAATTGTCGGTGATCTAGAGAAATCAGTGACGACCTACAAGTGTGATTGTTGTCTGTCTTACGAATGAGCCAAGCCCCATTTCTTTTAACATATGCCGCCCGAACATGCCACATGCATCCGTCGCCATGGTTCTCGCAACGAACATGAATTTGTTTAGTGTCAGAAGTGATGACACGATATTGAAAGCTTCTTCGCATAGCAGTTTCTTTCAATGCATCGACCACCTGTGGCTTTCCTGCAAATGTTTGGCCAACCACGAATCCAGAGTCAGGAGTCCAGATTGGTATAGGAGGGAGGTCAGGATCGTCGTTGTGAGCATAGAGAGGATGTTGTGGCACCATCGTGTAGTGAGGTGTGGGGGGCTCAAATTCCCCCTCGTCAACTTCCAGATCTTCACCATCTGAACTACTCATTGATTCTAACTCTTCGTCTTCCACGTCGCTTGCCTCGCTAGTGTACGGAGGACTTGGTTTATCCACATATGGATCATTGTTGATGCCAGATGCTGCTGTAGATGCTTGTCTGGGTGCCCTTATGTAATCCCATTCTCCACCCCATACTGGCCACTCCTGTCCGTCATGTTCCACCAATGGACCAGTTGCAGCTCGATCCTCGTATGTTGGCCATGGTGCATCATGCTGCACTCTGAAATCTCCTGAACCGGAAAAAGCTCCCGATCCTTCACCTTGTTCGGTATAACCACCCCCACCATATTGGCCAACAACTTCTGTCTCGACATACACCTCAGCAGTTGTAAATCTGTTCTCTGCAATAAATCTCATCATCATATTAACATCATCATCGTCAGACAAAACTGATCCTTCATATACAAGTGCATAATCCTTGTAAACCGGCATACGGTAAGTCATCTTGCATACTCTTCTCCCTCCTATGCAACATCGTTCCGCACAAATATGGCTGAGTTCTTGCCAAGTAAATATGCTCTTAATCGGGACAGTACTTGATTCACCATCTTCGTAGTCAATACTATCATGAAAATGGGTAATTCGACCATTCCACCGAATCAATAAGTCGAATTTTCGAAACTTTCTACCCATTTCTGCAGTTTATAGAAGCAGCTCATTACATACAGTACAAACAATTCTAAATTAATCTAAAATTCTAATACGCTCATTCAAACAACGTAAGCAGAACTTACCTCCAAAAATTTTCTTCTTTGGTGAGCTATGGTGCTCCAGCTGCTGCAGTTTGTGTTTGGAAGAAAGAAGATAGAAAGTAAAAGAGCTGCCAGAATGTGCTAAGTGAGGGCTTTTTATCATCGTAAACTGATGCAGTGGTTCGAGTCTAAAACACTCGATCTACACTAGTTCGAGTTTATTAAACTCGATCTACCCCATCCAATAATTTCCCCCCCTGCACCCTATTCTGGAACATGTCGGGCCGAAAGCGACTGGACAGAATTATTGAGCAAGTAGTTCGAGTTTAGTGCAATCGAACTACCCTAGTTCGAGTCCCTAAAACTCGATTTACTATAACAAAGAATCTTATCCCTGCAACCCTATCTGAAGCATGTCGGTGGGCCAGTGGTTCGAGTCTATTGTAATCGATTTACCTTGTTCGAGTCATAGGGACTCGATCTAGTGCAGATAGAGATCGAGTGTTTTCAAATCGTTGCACTGCATCGAGTTTCCCGGCGTCGATCTAGTTAAATCGAGTTTTCTATACTCGATCTACTTAATCGAGTGTATTGTCATCGATCTACATAGATCGAGTCGTTTGTCATCGATCTGCTTTGTTCGAGTTTGTCGTCGTCGATCTTGTTAGTAGTTCGAGTTTCACAAACTCGAACTCTTTGAAACTTGGGTAGTTTGGGAAAATTTTATAAAACTTATGTATTCTGGGAATTATGTATAATTTTTACTGTATTCTGGGAATTCTTCCCTTCTTTCCCTTTCCCTTGCTTGGCTCTTCACTTTCCCACCATCGATGCTCTCGCCATTTCCCTGGTAGAGCAACGCAATCAAAACAAAGGTCTCTCTCTCTATCTCACTGTTCCTCGGCCACTTTCACAAACAGCTGCTCTCTCTCTCTTCCTTTTTACTCCCCCACCTTCCTTTCTCGCTCGCCATATCTGTCTCTTCTTTTGTCACTTTCTATTTGCACAACAACCCCAAAATCCGCCTCTCCATCCCTTTGCACATGCTCTCCATCTTCATCTTTCACAATCTGGTCCTTCCCAATTTCATCTTCCCTGTTTTCCCCTCTTCCTCTTTCGGGTTACGAAACTTCCCTCCGATTTACCCAATTTCCCCCAACTGGGTTCTTCCAATCTCGCGCCTTTCCCATTAGGGTTCCCTTCAATTTTAGGGGGAAATCAGTGAAGCATCGCTTTTCATCATCCGGGCAAGTGTTAGGATCTTGGGTTGTTTCAGAATTTCAGTTCTCCGGGCAGCCTCTGCAGCAGCAGTCAAATGTCACAGCAGGGGTATGCAATTGAGCTCTACTTCGACCCGGCGCTGGAAAACCAGGTCTTGAAAGCCTGGAACGTGCTAGCTCGCCGCCAAATCAGCACGCAGCTCATCGAAATCGAGTCTCGCCCTCATATAACCCTGTATTCCAACCCTTACATCGACCCCACGAAGCTGGAATCAGTAATAAGGAGCTTTGCTGCAAGGCAAGAGCCTTTGCCTATGTCTCTCTCCACCATCGGCACCCTCCCCAGCGACAACAATGTCCTGTTTCTAGCCCCCACGCCTTCGCTCTCCTTGCTTCAGTTCCATTCTCAGCTCTGTGATGCAATGAGGAAGGAAGGAATCGAGATTGGGGAAGAGTACAGGCCTGATGCTTGGGTTCCTTACTGTGCTGTGGCTCAAGACGTTCCCAAGGCGAGAATGGCGGATGCATTCTGTGTTCTCAGAGACTTGAAGTTGCCTGTTAATGGGTATGCTATGGATATTGGGGTTGTGGAGTTCACGCCAGTTCGTGAATTAAGCTCCTTTGTGCTTGGTAACTCTGTAGAATGAATTGCTGTTGTTTGTTGTTTCTCATTTATATTAACTTAAGCAAATTTGTTTCATTAATATGCTCCTTTCTCTTTTGGGGTTACAAAGTTAGTTTTTTCCCCTTCCTATAATGGGTGTTGTAAACTTAGAGCATAGTGGGAGAAATCGCAGTTTCTGTTTCTGGACGTAAGAGTTGCTAATGAGAAGAATTCTGCTCTACAAAACCGTCCACAGCTTGTTCTTTGCATTTCCTATCAAGTAAGAAACCGTTATGTTTACTGATAGTACTGAGTTTCTTCTAGCTGGTTGTTGTCAATCTTATGCTTGCGGCTTTCGCTTCTGTTGTTTTAATGTGAAGAATTTTCTATTAGCTTTGTTGATATCTCTTGTAGGATGAGTCGTATGAGAATTGGCCAAGTCTGAATTCCAGGCTGGTACTGTGTAAACTATATTATCTATTTATCATTGATAGAATGAATCAGACTGACTTTACAATGTTTAAATTCTGTCAGTTCCCTACGTGGGTAGCTCTCTTCTCAGTCTCATTTGGCTTACAGCAACGATATGTCAATAATCCGGCCTACTAGGATATACAAATCTAGCGTAGATGCATCCTTGTTTGTGATTGTTTATTTGGAATCAAGTTTCTCTACCGGCTTCTAGTTTCATCATTTGCTTTGGAACAATCACAGACAGTTGTCAAACTTCTCGCTGTTAATATATTGGAGACTCTAATCTAGTAGGAGATACAGAAACTCGTGCTAGCTTATCGAGTTCTTGAATGTATCCTTAGTTCAATTGCAGACTATTTTTTGCTGCATGATGTACCTGAATTTGGCAAAAGGTATTCATGCCATTTCTAGGAGTGGAAGTTTGGGGGTTGGTTGTCAATCTCAATGCTGAGAATTTGAATGCAGAAAACCCTGATGAAAGGTGTTATAATTGATTGGTACTTGCATTTGATTGTTCATTGGCACGAACTTGTCGTGTTTCCTAGCCCAGTTGTGAAAGGGAGGGATGTCCTTTTCTTGGACAGCTACAGCCGAATCCTCTCCTAACTCTTGAACATGGGTTGTGTCTCCTCTGCTAAAATTGTCTTGTTAGAGCTAGTGGGAAAAAATACCAACACTGAGTAAATATCTAGCCAGAATTACTCTATTTGTACCACCATATGTGAGGACCATCATGCAACCTGTCAATGCTGCTGCCGTCTTTCTTGTTCCTGTCATCTTGGATCCCTAACTTCGGCAATATTTCATTATTACACTGTAAAAACCAGAACTGACAGCATAACAAAACTCGCTCTTCTAGTCTTCTTTCACTGCATAATGTACTATTTAGAATTTGCTTTCTGCATATATCTTTACATCTCTCTCTCTCACTCACTTTTATTTGTCCCTCAGCTGAAACAATCAATTTTTACTATGCCTCTATGAACTGATGAAAATAAATCACTCAATTCCTATACTATGCAGCTATAATCTAATCTAGTTAACCAAAGAATGTCGATCATCTCAGCCTCGTCAAAATTGCTTGCAGGAAATCATTCCAGACATCGATAGGACCCGGCAAACACCAATGAACGCAGTCGCTGTACCCTTTCATCCACTGGTTCCCCCAGAATAAGCCTGGGTGTCCGTCGGGCCGCACCCTCATAACCCGAGTGATATCCAACACTCCAAACTTCTTCCCCTTCTTAACTTTTTTTCTTACTCTTTGAAACTCCTCCACCTGCTTGTCTCTCACTTCATAAACATCCCTCCCTGAGTCGATCTCCAACTCCCTGGCAGGCCCTGTCCTGTTGCAGGTCCCGCCAGTGTTCCACAACCCGTTCTCGAAGTGAGACGGGGAGAATGTCCTCACCACGACGACGGTTTTCTTGCATTCCTTGCAGTTGTTTATCCGGTCGAGAGCTGCCCTGAGGGCCATCTTCACTGCCACTTTGACGTCCCAGTTGGTCACGTTTGGTTCGTTGCAGTAGATACACCCCACCACCTTGGAATCCTGGTGGAGGTATATGGCCCTAAAGAACCAATGCACTCCAGAGATGATCACGTAATCCAAGGCGTGCAGGTCTCGAGCCCAGTTCTCGTCCAGCCTGTCGAGGTACAAGTCATGGATGCCGGCTGATGTCGTGCTGTTGATCATCCTTTCTTCTCCGGCGACCAGAAACTTGGTCCAGATGACCTTCAGGATAAAATCATGCTTGGGGAAATGCCATATCCTGTTCCTGTCGTCGGCATCCTTGTAGGCTTCTACTGGTGCTTCCTCCTGCAACAACCAAAAACAAAAGAAACAGTGATTATGTTGATCAATGAACCACCCTATGAACAAGCATTTTGGCTTATTATTTGAGCAAGGAATGTTTGACTAAGACATAAACTGTAGCTCATTTTGACACCTACCAAAGAATATTTAAAGGACACCCTTATGCAAGCAAAGCATGAACTACATACCCGAAAAGAAGCATGAAGCAAAAGGGCTCTGGTGGGTGAAAAATATCAGTAAAGAATTTATCATTTGACTTTGATCCCATTTCAAGAATCAAGGAAGAGAGCAATCACAGCCACCATTGTAGGCAACGGAAACCTTTTTTTATTATAAAAAAGCTAAATAATAAAGCAAACTGATGCGGTGTGTAACAGAGATCTTGAAGGCTGAAAGAGTGATCATCTAGTAACCAAAAATGGACCAATTCCAGATCAACCAAACAATCCTCCACTTTCTGATAAGGAACAATGGCAGCAATAACAAGAACAAGAACCTGGGACAAGAGGCAGAGCAGTGATTCAAAATGATTCCTGGCAACAGAGTCCCCAACAAATGCCATCGCCTTCCCTCTCACAATCTCAAAGAAAGCTTTAGGATCAAACTTCTGAAGAACACAACCATCTGGCTTCCATCTCCAGTTGAGGAAATCTTTGTCCTTCCTCCCATGCCTGAAACAGTTCTTGGAGTCTGGCATCGTCGGGCAGCTCCAATTATTGTACCTCGCACCTTCATGATCGGGCACCCACCGTCCCTTGAACAGCTCACAATTCTCCTCCACTGCAAAACCAAGAAAAAAAACAGAGTATCAGGACAATTGCACCAAAGAATCATCAATGCATGGGAAAGTAGCGAAATTGAGAAATGGGTTTTGAAGGGAAGGAGGGATTGTGTGAAGGGTACCCTTTAGATTGGGAGGCGATGTTGGCGGTTTTAACGAGATGGTTTGATCAAGAAGATGATGATCATATCCACCCTGTTGTTGTCGTTGCGTTTGGGTTTGTTTGGGAGGTGGAGTGAGATTGAAAGGGTCAGGGGAGTAGAGGAAGAAGGTGAAAATGGTGGTTATTGCGAATGTGGACAACAAGCAAGGCAAAGCCTTCGCCATGATTATGTTTAAAGTTTGTTTGTCCCTTTTCCCGTAAAAATGAGAACCAGGAGGCGCTCCTCCAGTGCCGGTTGAACCATTGTTGTTATTCGACGATGATGATGAAAAAGGAAATGGGGTTGATTTCATTCTTCCCTTACAACCAAAACATTGAAAAGGAAGGTGAAATGGAGGAAGAATTAAGGAGCAGAGATTTTCGGGTCTATGGGATTGGGAAAGAGATGGAGGATGGGATTTTTGTTTGTTTGTGTTAGGGTGTTGTGAAGGTTGGATTTTGCATGTAGAGAGAAAGTGAGATTGTGAAAACACCCAAAAACTTTGTCGAGGAAAAAATGGAAACTAAGATATTACCCCTCACCATTAAAAGGAAGGAGAGAAATCTTACTTTGAATACGTGTGTTGTGTCATTTACAAGAGACGAAGGAGGAGGAGGGGAATTGGCCATTGGATTTGAGGGAAAGCTATGAGACGGCAAGAGCATAAATTTGAAGGGAAACTTTCTTCACGGATGCGTATAGAATATGTAACTCCTTCAATATTTTACTTATTTATATATTTTAGCTGTGTTATTATTTGTGTAAGATTACATCGGCAAAAAAAAAAAATGCATTTTCACCAAAAAAAAAAATGCATGTAAGGACTCGATTTAAATTGTTGGTTTTCAACATAAAGTTTTAAAACTTTTCAATCATAATATGAAAAAAATATATGGATTGTATTTTATTTTTGGACTAAAAACAATTAATATCCAAACCTATTTATTCCAATAAAATAAATTCAAAATTTTTATATATCATAAATATCCAAATTGTTAATTTTACGGTTGAATATGTTTATTGTTACTTAGTTATAGATATCGATAGTGTTTAGCATGAACGTAAAGTTCAAAATATACAATCCGAAAACACAATCCGCCAATCAAGAACTCGATCTGAAATCGGATTACAGCTGAATAGCACAATAGCAAAGTAAACTATACAACAAATTCAAGTAAACACATGCAGTTAACCATTTTCCACTCATACAAAGCTGTTACGCGTTCTAAATCTTTCAATCTGTGTTCATAGTTCAACGCATTCCCCTGAAAAAAGAAATTATTAAGCTACTGTTAGCTGATTGGTTCCATGTGAAACAAGGAATTATTAAGCTAAGCGGCCGGGGTCCTCCTATTGTATATTTGGTATTGTGTGTACTTTATGGATGTGTTTGGTTCGCCGCTAATCAACCCCTATGACTTGATAATTACATGTTTTGTTTTATTTTTATGGGATAATATATCAACCGGCCCCTTGATTAACGGGTGCCTTTCAGTTTCTTTTTGTTTGTCAATATTTGGGATTTGGTTGTGGGCTGTGGAGTGTATCATGTATGGGAGATGGCTCTTAACAGTTGACTACAAGGTAAGCCCCTCGTTCCACTCATGTTGAGCTTAATCAAAATCTATGGTTTGGTAAGGATAGCACTTCTGTGGTTGATCATGCTTGTCACTCTAAATTAAGAGCATCCACATAGCCTTGACTTTTTCCAATTGCGTAGCGACGTGGATAGGACTTTTACAATTACAAAACCCAATTTCACCGATGTAGAAAGTTGTGCAATCATGCAATTTTTTCACATTATGAAAGTCAAATTTCAATGCCACTCTATATTGAGAGCAACTACATAGCCTGATTTTTCCCAATTGCATTGTGACGTGGACAGGAGTTTCTCAAATTACAAACTCAATTTCACCGATGTGGGAAGTTGTGGAATTATGCAATCTTTCACACTATGAAAGTTAAATTTCAATGCCAATGGTGGGTTTGTTCTTGCTTTCTTTTATTAATGTTTTTTTTTTTTTGTGTACTTTTTAATGTTATTTAAATACCTCAAAAAAAATTTGAAGCAAATAAACACAAGGAGTTTAGATGGGCCGAGAGCTATTAGCAGCGTATGATGTTCTGTTAAGGAAAAGAAAGCTGGGCTGGCAGGAACGGCCCGGACGAGGGAGTTTCCAAGATTGAAACTATAATGTGAAGAGTAGAATGAAGATCCGTTTATTATCGGGCCAATTCCTTAAGAGCCAACACAAATTGTGTGTGACGTACACTAGGGATTGGAAAATAGACCAGTCCGTTAGAAATAGGGTGGGCAACGGGAAACGGGTATTTGGGTATGCCCGTACCCGTCCCGTTTTTTAAGGGTTACGGGTATCCATATTACCCGTAATATTATAAACGGATGGGAATTGGGATTGTACATTCCTAATATGGGTACCCGCGGATTACCCGCGAATACTCGTTTGGGTAATATGGGTACCCGTTATACCCATTCAATACAAAGGCAGCCCAACCTAATTCAGAACCCATTGGTCATTTCGGCCCTCACCCTTGCAATTTCAATTCCATTTGCCATTTGGGCCTAGGGCCCTTACTCTTTCAGTGAGACTCAGCTTCTCTGCTATAGATTTAGCTTCCCATGACCCTAAAAATTTGGACACTTTCTGAATTCAGCAACACAAGAAAAGTAGCAGCATGCCTCCCAATTGGTTGTGTTGAATGAAACTTCCTATTTGATAATTTGGTGCTTGGAATGATTTATTTCTATGTGTTGTGATTGTTCATGAATGTATTATTTGCAAACCGAGTATTTGTGATTGGGATGTATTTTGTGTCTTGTGATTGTTAAACAAATACAAGTTAAGTTTAAACTTTTGTTAAAATTTTAGTGGTTTAAACTTTGGGTATTTATGGGTAGTATGGGTACCCGTTATCCGTCCCGTACGGGAAATGGGTACCCGTTTCCCATTTGGGTTTGGGATATGGGATGGACTTTGGTCTCCAAACGGGACGGGTATCCCGTCCCGTCCCGTTGCCCACCCCGAGTTAGAAAAACCGTGATCCAAACCGTACTGCACAGTTTGGTTCGGACCGTAGACCGTTAAGTATGGTCTGGTCTGGTCCATGGCTGTACTATTTTATGTTTTGATCTTTTGGTCTGGTCTGGTCTAGATCGCGGTTTACCGGACCAAACCGTGGACCCAACTGACTTGTAAATACGTGTTAACAGCCCATTCGACCACTCTCCCAACTCCCACAACGACACTCAAGCCTCAACATTAGTTTTGTGAATCTCGTCCCTCCTTAATTCACAACCACATTTAACTAGAGAGTAGAGATAATCGTGTCTCCATATGACATTATGTTAATGTTTATGACGTTATGGTGCAAGTTGGGATGCTTTTACTTTGTATCTTTGGTACGTACTAAGATTTAGAGTATCAAAATTATTCATGCATGTTAGGATTAATGATTTAAGGCAAATAACAATTATTTTTCCTGGTTAATTTTTTGTGTGGTTGACTAAACAAATTATTCATTTTTCATTGAGTGTGGTCTATCTGGACCAGACCAGACCGCACAGGCGTGGTCTAGACCGAACCGTATAGTCTGTGGTCTGGTCTGTGGTCTATACTTTAGCCTCTCGGTCTGGACCATAGACCGTATAGATGGTCTGCTCTGGACCAGACCGCACCGTTTCCTAATCCTAACGTACACTCTCACTCGACTATGGCTTAAACATCGGTGACCCAATTGGAAATCTGCTTACTGAAGCTATTATTGGTACAAATGGATAAATCACGATTAAATCATCAAAGTTTAAAAACAAAAGATCCTACAATTAATTTATATAATATATTATTTGATAAGATTTTATAATATTTGGAGCTATCCAGGAGCGAATGCCTAAACCGATGGTGCAAATGCCGATTTTGATGGAATGGGACTGTCAATCGTTGATCTAAAAGCTCAACTAGGATGGTCTGATTGAAACGGAATTGGGGAGGGTGGTGGAGGAAATAAGAGAATTAGGTCTGGAGATGGGTAACGTTCGATGGAGGTTTTGAGGGAGAAATGGCAACACAGTTGCCCATGAGATGACGAGGATAGCTTGCAGATGGGAGGAGATGGCAATGTGGTTTGAGAGGCCTCCTGCTTTTATTTATTTATTTATTTCATCCTTAGTGAAGACTGCAATGACGTTTTACCCAGCTAAATAAAATATGCAGATTTTGTTATATAAAAAATGTGTTCATAGATATATAAGGTCGTAGGCGTATTCATCTAACAAATGTGGAATTGTGCGGTCTATCTGACAACCTCGCATTTTGTTGAGTACATTTTCATAAATAGGTTGTGAACATTTTAGCAAAATTGGTATAGTCTACCCTACAACATTTTGCTTGTAAATAATGGAGTTTTGAAGTTGAAGTGATTCCTTCTCAGTGATGAGCATTTAATTGGCGCAGTGTGATTAAATTCCAAAACCCATCTGATGAGCTGCCTGGACACAAACACATGGTCTCCAATAATTATAATTATGGACTTAATTGGACTGATTAGATCGGGAAGAAACATGATATATAATTTAGGTACTGTATGTAGAAGATCCGCCTGACATGGCAACTGAAGAAAGCAAATATAATTAGTATTATAAGATTCGGCTGGAATATTTTGTTGAAAGACATACTAGTTTTTTTTACAGACCTGTTACAAGGTGCTATTGTAATGGTGATGAAAAGCATGAATGAAAGACTAGTTTAAAGGGGTGAAATATGTCATCATATTCTCTCAATGTCTAAGAAATTACTTCACCCCCTAGCTAATTCCTTCTCCTAGTGGAACTAAGGTAAGATAAAAAGAAAAAAAAGTTAATTATCCATGTATATATCATGTCATATTGACAAACACATTTTTGTATGATTGTTTTGAACAAAATTTGATAACGGTTCGCATAAACTTACGTTTTGATGAGTCTTGACGTTAGACAATGTCAAAACGCCTTGTTAGTGATTCAGTAGCGAGTTAGGCATTTAAAATGCAACGGTTGAGTAATTCGACAGCTAGACCTAGACGTATTTAGACGGAGTTAGGGAATCATTAAAAAGTGGAAATTAACATTATCTACTAACTCAATATTTTCAATAGCTCAAGAACTACAGCTCTCATATTGTTAAATTGTTAAGCATTTGAGCTTAAGTGCGGATGTGATGTAAAAATATTGCATTTATTTTTTTTGGTACAAACTACTCTTTTTGTTTCTTAACACCTAGACATGTTTAGGGGACACCTAGGCAAGCTATGTGCTAGGCAAGTCCCCAAGGCCAGTCTTACACTTAACACCTTCTTGAACCTTGATTCTAGTACTTTGTCATAGTTTGATTTGACTTAGAGCAAGATCAGGTAGCCATCCACTCGCAGTTCCACTATACTCCCGCAGAGACTAAATGAGTAATGTATGACTAACGAGTTGATTTATCAAATTACTTTACAACACTTCTATTAGATGAGTATACTCAAAGATCATGAAGGTAGACGCCTATAGACATTCACATCT